CGACTCATCGGCACCTTTGAAAAGGGATCGAAGAATGACTTGACAGTGCATCAAAAAATACTCGTTTTGTTCTTGATGGGGTTGATGGGGTGGGGGGCAAAAAACTCGACCTTGCTGACCACATGAGTCTACTACATGTATTTGTCTTTCATTGATCGTCACCCTGGAATCCCTGCAAATTCTCGATACAAGTACGGAGCGTAGCTACCAATGTGGGCATGTCCAAATCCAGGTCTGTTGCTGTTGCCAGGCCTCCAGATTGGTACCGTCTTCTCTCTCAATCAAAGTGATGCTACCCTTGCGATCAAGCATCGTGGCCTAGGACCAGTGGTGCGAATCGGTTGCGGTTGAACTGGTCAGCAAATAAAAGAACCACAGGGCTGCTTGTTTAAGGTTGTAGGTTTAAAAGGTTCAAAATGTTTTGGTGTGTCTTCCTTTTTCTTCTTCTTCTTCTTCTTCTTCTTCTTCTTCTTCTTCTTCTCTTCTCCTCCTCCTCCTCCTCCTTCTTCTTCCTAATTGTGTCCACTGTTTTGTGCCTACACTCACTTCAACATCCATCTCCAGACCTGTGCTAGTTGACATGTATGCAAAGACGGTTCAACCCATCGACCCACTCCCACACCAACATTTGGCAGGGACCCTGGAGATCTTCGCCACTTTCGGCCTCTCCATGTCTCACTCGATTCAATGTTCGCAATCAAGACTAAAAGGAGGTTTGAAAATGGCAAGATACATTAAACAAATACATACTTGAAATTGGCAAGATACATCAAGCAAATACATGCTTGAAAATGGCCAAGATACATTAACGCTTTGACCCAAACTCTTTGGGCACAACAACCATGGAGAAGCATAGTAGTGCTTGCATTTGGCATGCAAAGTGTGCATTTCCAGGGACCAGTATTAATGTTGTACTGTCAGCAAGTGTGGCATGTTTGAGGTCGATGACAAGCCCCGTCCGAACCGCCCCACATGCCGTACAAGCATTTATTAGCCGCCGTACGTGCCCAAGAAGCGTTGCTCCACGGGGCTAGGGAGTGGACAAAAGAAATCCCCATCACCACATATTTTAAAAGCTGGAACCCAAGGTTGATAATGTTGATAGTGAGTGTGTGTGTGTGTGGCCTCAGTGTCCGTTCTCAACGACATTGGCTGTCCATTTATACAGTTGAAAAAAGTTGAAACTATGCCAGTTGCACTGTATGCAGAATTTGCCTGTCAACCTGTCCTCAATACCAACCAAGTTGGTGAAATCCCATCATATCCCGGCCCGAAGATCTTGTCCACAAAGAAAGCTTTGGCAGCCTTGGGCGGGAAGGTGCAAACCACCACCCGATTTGTCTGCAAACGAAATGAAAATATGACTTCATTCAAGCGTGCTGTGTTCAATAGTTCGACAGTAGGAAAGTCGGCCATCGCGCAAATCTCTCCAGAGACTGTGTTTCAAAGATGCTTGAGCGATCCAACCATGCGAAGGCTGCCAGGCCCCAGTGCATTCCAAGTGCAAGTGTCTGCTAAGTTGTTTCTGCTGGAATGCCCTCTCGTGATGGTTGGAAGCGTCTAGACTGAAGCTTGCACAGCGTTAATGAAAAACAACCCAAGTCGTTTTTTTTCTCAGTATCCAACGTCTTCCTTTGTAGGAAGCTCGCCAGGGTGCTGAAATGTATCACGGTCAACAGGATCCCTGGCACAAGGAAAACATCATGTAAACGTGTGAGACCCAATTCGAATCAGAGCTAAAGAATGCGAGGGTTCTGCAAAAAAGACACATAATCTACCTTTTCCTTGCTAACATGATGGTCTAGGGCGTGGATGGACAGAAGCATGTTGTGCACTGCAAGGCCAGTGTAGTATATAGTAAAAATCATTCCATAGGATACGCGTAATGCTAAGGGATAGTAAAATGTTCTCAAGAAATGTCAGCAACTTCTTTCCTAAGCTTCGCCGCCCTTATTCCATTGATTCTGCTCCATGCCGGCAGAGCCACACCCACACATTTATGGCCTGCCATGATTCTCCAGACATGTTTGAGGGATTCAAAATGATTCCAGACTTCAAGCTTTTTCAGGAATTCTATGCTATGACTCATTGAATTTAACTGACCAACATCGGGCATGGGGCAGTTTGGACTGAACATCAGCTCGCCGTGTTTTGGGGTCGCCAAGTAATTGATCGTGATTGATCTGCGGCAGACTATGTATGCTTCGCTGCACAGTCTTCTGACCATGCTCCAACCAGCCTGGGCCCCCATACGCTTCTTAAGCAGGAACCCTCCGAAGTCTTGTTTTGTAAGTGATGGTTGGGACCAAAAGGCCGCAAGTATTCCAGACTTGATTCCTAGAACGCTCTAGGACTCAAATTACAAGAAAACTTCTGTCAGCAGCTGCCGCAACGGCACGGGGACATTGGCACTTGTTTAAAATTTTGCTAAGGTCATGTCATTCATGTTGATTCTGACTATGAAACCAATTTTGCTTCTTGCCATGTTTTGCAACAACCTTGTTGTCTAGGTTCCATGGATCAAGGAAGTCTTGCTGATGAGAGTGGCGAGCACTCGAGCCTGAAAGCTCTAAGAATCGCTAGAGCATTGCAGAAAGCTCCAGGTGCTTGCAACTGTTTGTGGAAATTCTTGAGAGAAGGATCGGGTAGCTTCCATAGCTTCCAATTCATGAAGTGTCCGTCTTCCTGGCCCTGAATGCGTTTCGTCTCGCGTGTCACCCCTGCAAGCTGCGGGCGGTTCGCATCTTTTTCACAGCCAAGCCGAGTTTTCGTGGCCATGATCTGTGATGTTGTCAACAGGTGCAACAAGGCCATTCCAGTGTAGTTACTTTTTAGGTGCTGGTAAGTAGTAAAACCTTATCCTGAAACATGCTGAAAAAGAGGCATACCTCAGCCACAGTTTGGATCATCTTAGTCATGTGCCAGGATTTCTGGATCATCTGCCTGGGTACCCCTCAAGCGGTGCTCAATGTCTCTGTGCGGGCGAAGCGCTTCTCCGGTTACAGACTGAGCCACTGTGCAACTTTTTGCTGCCAATGGTACAGGCAAGTAACATCTGGGTAAGAATTACTAGTTCTTATTTTTTCTTCTGAGGGAAAGCAACCTGGCTCAGTCGATCCGCATCTTCTCAATCTTCTCTCCGGTGAAGAGCGTCTCATTCAGCCTGGCAAAGAGCAGCGCAAAAGCAAGTGCTTTCAGGTGTTGCAGACTTGAACTGCTCAGGATGTTGCAACATTAGTGGCAGTGACATCCCATGAACGACAACAACAATGATAATGGTAATAATGAGAGGAGGCCTTGCAGTTTTCTGGTAAGTCGTCCTGCTGTGTTACTGTTTGGTGCATTCTACTTGCTCTGGTGCTCTTTGAATAGTGTTTGGATGCCCTGTCACTGCATCACGCAAAGGGAACGCATTCTTACATTTCCGGCGTTCCTGCTTCCTGCTAGGCTCACCTTAGGGAAGGGACATACTTCCTGTCCCTTGCCATAGTCGCAATTCATGCATGCCGGATGTGACGCTCTTAGATTGTGAAGAGCTTCAGCTCTGTGGACGTCCAGGGCGGGTGAACTGATGCTTCTATATACGTCCCCTGAATTTCAGCCGATTGAGTGGGTAGATGGTAGATTCGATTGCGTCACACGAAATTCAGGGTGGTGACTTTCACCCTAATCTTTGTTCCGCAGGTTCCTCAAATCCCAAATTGCAACTAATAACCACGCAGTTTCCCCATCTGTCGGCTGCGTCTCCGTGCCAGCTCTTGCTTCCATCCGCAAGGTGGTCATCAAAATCCACCACATCCAGAAACCTGAATCTGACGCATGATCCAACAACAAACTCTACGTAGAAACTTCACATTACACAAAAACCAGGAGGAAACAATCGAACCAATATCGACTGCTACCGCAAAAACCCTGAACGCGGTTGACATAGGACATCGTCAGGCCTCATCTCGCCGATGAGCCTGGAGGTCTCGCTAAGCGCCTGCAATGCATTTGCCAACACAAAAGGCCCGAGAAGAAAAACCCACGGCACCGGCCCATGGCGCGGCCAAGCAGGGCACACAAACCCGGACAAGCATTGGACAAGGCCAGAGGACAGCAGGAGGACACAAAGAGAACAAGGCAAGGACACAAATCCACCCGCACCGAAGGTGCTCAGGGCGTGATGGCATAAACAACTGTAATTAAGGTACAGGTTTACCTGGGGGGAGGCATTTTTTGCTGAAAACAATGGGTTTTTGATAGGTCGCGACGGCAGACTTCAAAAAACACTGTTGTTTACAGCACGGAATGGACTAGTTCGTGCACGCGCTCGCCCGGAACCAGCAAGAAAAAAATGAAAAAAAAAAACCTTGTGTTTTTTATTTGGGGTCTTCGATTTCCTGCTTTGAGACGCGTTTTTTAATGTGTCTTGTCAGGAGCTGTTTGGGTGACGGCTTTCGCCATTTTGGTTTTGCCGAGGCTTGACGTCTTTGCGCGAAAATGTGAAAAACCTCGCAAGTAGTCGTTGAAAACGTCGCAAATTGCAGTGCTTTTTGACAGCAGGTTCAAAAAACCTGTAAGTAGCGGTGCTTTGGGCCGCGGCAAGCTTAAAAACATCGCTTTTTGCAGTGGCTTCTCGCTCACAGCATAAAAACACTGTAAAGTACGGTACATTGTGGGGTTTTCGGCAACGTCAACCTCAAAAACCTCGCTATTTCTAGTGGCTTTTGCTTTCCGGTGTACGAAAACACGGTCAATAACGGTGCTTCCGCAGATGCAAAGCTCCACACACACACACACACATATATATATATATATATATCTTGGGAGCGGGAGCTGAACGCAACAGTCTGTTTGGATCCACACTTACTAAGTGGCAACATGATGAGCCCTTGTGATATATTGCATATGCGGCATATGGTCCATATATGTCCATATGGTGATGAATGAAAATAGCGCATACTTCTGGCGTATTACCTTCTACGATCGTTGTTGCGTCATGCCATCACTCATCCGACTCGCTATTGACTTGTAGGGCTTGTCTAATTTCGAGGCTGTGTGAGTGACAGTTTTTGCCCTTGTTGTTGGGCAACTGTTTCATGGCGGGTGCGGGCGGACCTTGCTGCGGAGCGGCGTGTAGGCCAGGAGGACACAGGATTCTTGAGCGCCAGAGGACAACTGGAGGACAAGAAGAGGACCAGGAGGACAACACCTGGCCACAACAGGGTTAAGTGTCAAGCGTAGCAGGAGGACACCAGGAAGACAAGAGGAGGACGCAGGGTTTGCCAGCCTGGGTAGAGGACAGCAGGAGGACAAAAGCACACAGGGTTTGCGAGCGCCGCCAGCAGGACAACTGGAGGACAAGAAGAGCTTGGACACAAGGTTCAGGGGCGTGGCCAGAGACAGTCCTGTGTCTTTTTTCTAAGAGAACACCCCAACAGTAAACTGTCTGGGGAAAAAAACATCCCTTGGCAGCACAACGACGGGTTCTTCATTCGACCACTTGCATCATGTAATGCTTTGAGATCTTTGAGTTTGTTTGTTCTCTTGAAACTCTCACACTCTATTTCAACTAGTATTGCATACAAAAAATCTGATTACTTAAATCATGAACCAAAGCAACACCATGATGCCTCGCTGTTGAGGTTTACAATATCACCTGAGCACGGTTTTCTTCTCAAGCCGCCTTCATTGAAAACACAAAGAGGAAAACCGCGCAAGCCATCCAACTGGATCTGCAATGAAGCACAAACCCGTCCCCACGCCGACTTTGGACCAACACACGGCTCCGCACAAAAGCAAACCAAAGGAAACAGCACACTGATCCAAAGCACAAACCTGTCAATTAGCGGCTGGCACAGCCACAAAATGGTCAACTCTTTACAATGCATGCTACGTGCAGTTTATCAAGTTGATTCCTACATCTGGCCAAGTTGCCACCGACTGCCTTCCACTCATCCTTCGTGCAACCAAGCATCATGACAAATACAGTAGGCTTTGCTGAGACAATTTGAATGCTTGCTAATCTGTTTCTTCTAATTGACCACCAAGAGATTATGACCTGTCTGGGACTTAGACACTTGTTTGTTGCGGTACACGGCTCATTTTGGAACCTAGAAACGGCTCATTTTGGAACCTGGCTCATTTTGGAACCCAGACGAAAAGAAAACTCTCCGGGACTGCAGCGTGAGACCAATTTCGCGGCTCATTTTGGAACACGCATCATTCGGTAGTGCTTCGAAGGTAGCATTTGCTGTGAAAATGAGTTTTCGTACGAGACTTCCTCCAAAAGTGCGCCGCGGAAGTCTCCAGAACGAGCGTATCGTACGAGACTTCCTCCAAAAGTGAGCCGCGGAAGTCTCCAGAACGAGCGTTTCGTGCAAGACTTCCTTCAAAAGTGAGCCGCGGAAGTCTCCAGAACGAGCGTTTTGTACGAGACTTCCTTCAAAAGTGAGCCGCGCAAGTCTAGAGAGAGAGAGACAGAGAGAGAGAGAGAGCGCGCGTTTCGCGCGAGACTTCTTTCCAAGGGGAGCCGCGGAAGTCTCCAGAACGAGCGTATCGTACGAGACTTCCTCTAAAAGTGAGCCGCGGAAGTCTCCAGAACGAGCGTTTTGTGCCAGACTTCCTTCAAAAGTGAGCCGCGGAAGTCTCCAGAACGAGCGCTTTGGGCGAGACGTCTTTCAAAAGTGAGCCGCGGAAGTCTCCAGAACGAGCGTTTTGCACCACGCATTATCATATGATACGCACGATCCTCGCAGAGGGTCGCTCCAGGTCAAACGCGTCAAACGCGATCGACGTTTCACTACACGTTTGAACACTTGGCACGCGCGATCCTCGTGGAGGATCTGTTTTTGTTTTGCTTAGGGTTTCGCTCCTTTAGCTTTTCTTTTGCTTCTTTAGGATGTTTTTGTGCTGGAATTAGGCCTTCACGTGAGGGCTCCTTTAGGATGTCTTGGGTTTCACTTAGGGCTTCACTTCTTTAGGGTCTCTGGTTGGTTGCGCTTAGGGCTTTGCTGCTTTAGGATGTCTTTCGTTTTCACTTAGGGCTTCACTTCTTCAGGATGTCTTTGGGTTTGACTCAGGGATTCACTTCTTTAGGGCCTGGTTTGGTTTTGCTTATAGGGCTTCCCTCCATTAGGATGTCTTGGGTTTCACTTAGGGCTTCGCTTCTTTAGGGTTTCTGGCTGGTTTGCCATAGGACTTTGCTGTTTTAGGATGTCTTTCGTTGTGACTTAGAGCTTTACTTCTTGAGGGTCTCTTTTGGCCTGCCTTATCGCTTCACTTCTTTAGGATGTCTTTGGCACAAATCTCTTGCTCAACATTTTGTGTTTTGCGCACATGATCGTGGTAATTACGTGCTTTGGCGAAGCTGGGTTTGGTTTTGCTCAGGGCTTTGCTCTTTTAGGGTTTCGTTTGGTTTGCCTTAGGGGCTTGCTTCTTTAAGATGTTTTTGGGTTGGCATTAGGGCTTCAGTGGAGAGGGGCTTAGGGCTTCACTTCTTTAGTCTTTTTTTCTTTTGCTTCAGGCTTCACTCCTTTAGGGTTTCATGTGGTTGGGCTTCCGGCTTTGCGTCTCTAGGATGTCTTTGGGTCGGATAAGCCTTTACTTCTTTGGGGTCTCTTTTGGTCTTGCTTCGGGCCTCGCTCCTTTAGGGTTTCTTTGGTCTTAGCTTAGGGCTTCACTTCTTGAGGATGTCTTTTGATTTGACTCAGGGCTTCACTTCTTCAGGATCTGTTTTTTTGGTTAGGGTTTCGATCCTTTTTCTTTTGCTTCTTTAGGATGTCTTTGGGTTGGACTTAGGCCTTCACGTGAGGGCTCCTTTGGGATGTCTTGGGTTTCACTTAGGGCTTCACTTCTTCAGGGGGGTTGGTTTGCCTTAGGGCTTTGCTCTTTAGGATGTCTTTCGGTTTCACTGAGGGCTTCAGTTCTTTAGGATGTCTGTGGGTTTGACTCAAGGCTTCACTTCTTTAGGGTTTGGTTTGGTTTTGCTTAGGGTTTTGCTCCTGTAGGGCCACGGTTTCTTTTGGCTTGGCTTAGGGCCTTGCTTCTTTACGATGCCTGTGGGTTAGACTTAGGCCTTCACCACCACCCCCTCAAAAAAAGAACGCTTCTCAGAAACCAGTCCCCAGCAACCACATCCCAGAAACCAGTCACCAGAAACCAGTCTCCAGAAACCACTTCCCAGAAAAACCACTTCCCAAAAAACACTGCCCAGAAACCACTTCCCAGAAACCACTTCCCAGAAACCGCTTCCCAGAAACCACACCACTTCCCAGAAACCACTTCCGAGAAACCAGCCCCCAGAAACCAGCCCCCAGAAACCAGCCCCCAGAAACCACTCCCCAGAAACCACTTCCCGGAAACCACTTCCCGGAAACCACTTCCCGGAAACCACTTCCCAGAAACCACTTGCCAGAAAAACCACTTGCCAGAAAAACCACTTCCCAGAAACCACTTCCCAGAAACCAGCCCCCAAAAAACACTTCCCAGAAACCACTTCCCAGAAACCAGCCCCCAGAAACCACTTCCCAGAAACCACTTCCCAGAAACCAGCCCCCAGAAACCACTTCCCAGAAACCACTTCCCAGAAACCACTTCCCAGAAACCACTTCCCAGAAACCAGCGTCCAGAAACCACTTCCCAGAAACCACTTGCCAGAAACCACTTCCCAGAAACCACTGCCCAGAAACCACTTCCCAGAAACCACTTCCCAGAAACCACTTCCTAGCCTCGGGAGACCATTTCACCCGCGTTCCGAAACAAGGCGAATCCAGGGTCCGAAACGAGACGAATCCAGGTTCCGAAACGAGACGAATCCAGGTTCCGAAACGAGGCGTCGGCCGTTTGTTGCAGGATCCCCAACAAGGAGTCTTGGCCAAGAAAGCGCTCTTTTCTTTCTCATGCTTTTGGAACAAGCTTAAATGGTGTTCTCTGATGGAGTCCTTGACTCGGCCCATGCCCTTGAAGGCAAACTGCTTTTCTGGCAGCTTGCCTGAAGTTTCCAGGCACACGGCCACTACTCAGACTAGTCAAAAAACATGTGCAAACGAAAGACGACCCCAGTACATTCAGACACTTGGAACACGGGAGTTCTTTGCAGGCACAAAGGAAACAGTTCTCTTTGCAGCACCAGATACTTGCATCAAGAGTCCACACCTTGGGTTCAGCGAAAAGCATCTGTCCAAAAAATCGAGCGGAATTGTACCCATCTACCCAAGTCTTTTGAGTCCGCACATTCCATCGGTCATGAGAAACCATTTTATTGCGAAACCGCCCGTGTATGGCCATAGTAACAGTGGTGACCTTGCTGAAATTATGTTTGTGCCTAAAAGGTCAACTACGGTAGCGTTGGCACCAAATAGGCACGACAAACGGTTGCTGACCAGGTGGCATGTTGTTTCTCTTTCCAAGGCTGGTAACGGGTCCAAAATTACGCAACAATTCCAAACCTTTTGTCCCGTCAGTGTCTTGGGGCTGCGACAGATGCTGCTGCAAAGTTTGCGGCGATCTTGTCGGCAATGGCCTCCAGTCCAGAACTGTCGGTTCAAAAGCTCAACTTCTTAGAGCTTTCTGCCTCCTTCGGACTCCTTCGTTCTTGATCTTCTGAATTGATTAAGGACGCGCTGTCGCTTCTTTTTATTTGCACTTACGCAATGGAAAACAGCAACAGAATCTATGTACTGCAGCTGAGAGCAACCGGCATCCACTCTGAGCTGCTTCTGGGTGGATGGTTCCAAAAATAAGCTAAGCTTAGATTCGCCGTGCCTTCATAAATCTTTCTGTTTCATCGAAAAAGCAAACCAATGTAGGTACTTTAGGCCCTAGCTTTAGGTCATATTCCTCTTGTATATAGATAGATAGATAGATAGATAGATAGATAGATTCTTACTTGTAGCAAAGGGTTGTCCAGGTCAAAGATCTGAACCCTACTATGTATGGGTATGACAAGATATCATGAGATCGTGTTTTACCTATTCAGGCAACGGCCAGGACCGGCCCTGATCCAATCTGCAAAGAAACGGTCCCACAAGCTCTGAGCAAGCTCAGCATCTCCTTGCACTGTTCATGAGGGTAAACGAACCTCGACTTCATGACGGGGCTTTCGAAAGTCGTGCCAATGTTGCATAACATAGAAACGCTGGAAGACCGAGTCATCCTTCCACCAAAAGCTTGAAGGAACTTCAGTGGACTCTTCCACCCCATCCATCGGCTCTTCAAATGACACCGTCTTTCTGGGGATCGGCATCGCATCACAAGCTCGACAAGAAGGGCGAAGGATGATCCGCCCCGCCGCTTTGCTTTGAGCCAAACCGCCTGCAGGCATCAGCCGCAGTGTTCAACAGTTCAACAGACACGTGCAACCACGTGGCAAACGAGCGCTCATCGGCAAGCTGAAGTAAGCCGGAAGAATGAAAGCCTTGCCTTCACTGGGGTCATTTCAGTGCTCCCGGAGGCTGTGGCATGATATATGCCCACAATCTCCATCGTAGCATCGGTCTGGCACTGCGCAGTGGGGAGTGTGAATTTGCCCAACACATCCATTGGATTGGATACTGATAAACAGCATGTTACCTGGCTCTGGCTCTTCACAGTATGCTCAGCATAATGATCTTGCAAACAAAAAACAAAAGCATCAAAAAACAAGTCAAGCCGACATCCCCAACCAGCATCAACTGGCTGTTGGATTGGCTGGCTACCCAACGGGTTGTAGGTCCAACGTGCTCTTCGATTTCACATCCCGCTGAGTCAGGGACGGACTTGCAGTGCTCCTCTGCTAGCATGCAAGCCTTCACAGGAACACACGTGAAAGCATGAACCCTGATCGACCTCAGGCTGGGATTGGAACATCAAAGTTGAAGGACCCTTTCACCGTCTCGGAAAAAAGGATCCTTCATGCCTATGCACTGTTGCAAGGCAAAATTTTTGGATAAATAAAGATTGGAAAATGTGTCCACAACCACGACACAAGCACCCCATAACTGAGGTGAGGGCTACTTTGAGCATTGGTCCCTGGCATTCAGCACTTGCAAACGGTCCTTTGGCTCAACTGCCAATTCGACTTTGTTCTCAGTTAGGTCAGTTTGGTGTGCTTCTTTGACAAGCTTGGGAGTTCTTTGGCTACCAAAGGTGTCCAAACCACTGCTTGCATCCCCAAAAAGCAAGGCTTCCAGATGCACTATCACAAGGTACAGAAGCAATTATTGCATCTGCATGGGCTCCGCCAGCTAAACGTCTATATAACAAGGAATGGCCGAAGAATGGCTCCTGGAAGAAGACTGATATGATATGTGGCTGCAAGCCTGTAATCTCTATTGTGTCAAATCAACCCCCACAGGCGCGGAACACGTTGAGTTGGGGGCGGCCTGGGGGGCCCTCACACACAAGGAGGAGTGGCATCAGGCGGGCAATTCTCGCCCTTTAGAGTTCCAAAGGTTTATATAGATAAGGACAAGCGGAATCTGGCGGAAGTAGATAAGGAAAAACAGAAAATACCTCCGTGTGACAAGTGTGGTGGCATCTTTAGCAGCATGTTCATTCAACACTGGCACAACACCTAGGAAACCCACCAGTGTTGCTCAAAGTGCGAGTGAGGAAGTAGGCGCGGGGACGCTGGATTCCGTTCAAAAAAGCCGGTCGCACCAATGCATGAGTATGAAAGAGCGGAATGGCTTCCAGCACCTTGATGCGCACTTGGGAAATACGGAATACATCAGCCACTCTGAAGGTGAAACCTGCTTGAAGGTATGCTGACAGGGACCGAGATGTCTGGCCAGCTAGTAAACATTTCACCAGGCATCAAACAAATATGTGGGACCAACGAACACATACTGTACATCCCGTAGAAACGCAAAAGGCTTAAAACCTGTCAGAGCTAGGTCACAGTGGACATCGTGTTGCTCCATGTGAAAACAACAAGGCTTTGGTCGCAGTGGGCCGTCCTTCAGTTCAAAGTCAAACAGTCTGCGGTCAAGGTTGTATGAGCAACAAAGCATCGTATAAGTTGTCCATTGCACAGAATGTCAAGCCGTTGCTGTGCAGGACACCTTCATGACTCTTCCATCAGCGTGGCCCAAGAAAAGGCCAAGCACCTCCGCCGTACAAGATTGCAAATCTACACAAATATGATGACTCCGAATGCTCTCAACGTGATAGTGCCTATAAGCGATCAAATACTCGATCAAAAGGATCAGATCAGCATCGTTGCTCGTCTCGGGCACGGACGGAACTAGATGAGTGCTTGCAAAGGTGGAGCACAGCCTGAGCCGAAGAATGGTACGTACATCAAATGCACTGGAATGAGGGTACATGAACAGAACATGTGAATTACTTGGCCATGAAACAAACCAAAACACAAGACCTGAGACTTCAGAGATCCATATGCCTACTGCGTACCTTCATGGTCATGACGTACCAACACCTGAAAGTAAACTTGGGTCTTGTGGCCTATGGCCTCGTGGTCGTGTGGCGTTGGTCCGTCTATACAATCAAAGCACCGCACATCTAAAGCCTCTGCTTGGAGAGCCAAACTGTGGCAGGTAAGTATGTATAAATGTCTTGCTATGAACCTACTAAGTACATGTAAGTACGACTTAACGTCCATTGCCCTGTAGTACTTCATGATTGGATGGATCCAAAGCTGCAAAGATCAACCCAAATCCCTTCAAGACTCTTGTACCACAAGTTCTATATAATATATATAATATATATATCTGTGTATAATTATGTACACATAGAATCATAGAATTAGAATGCGCATCACCTTCACACAAAACTACGGCAGGTGTTCTTGATGAAAAAGAATACTGATTGTTTCTTGTAAATGCAGCTTATGTTCTGCCTGCAAAGGCCCGCTGTTGGATAGGCCGGATTGTGAACTGGTGATACCACAGCTTCAAAAGAGTTTTAAGAGACCAGCCACTTTGTGTTTCTGTGCACGACAAGAGCCTCCCAGCAAGATAGAAATGGTTTTCGGTGACAACTCTCAAGGCTCTGACCTTGGCATAGGCCTGGGGGTGAAAGGCATATCCTACAAGGGTCGAGTAGAATCAAGCACCCTGGAGACAAACGGCAAGCCCCTCTGACCAAAGTTAGTTGCCTGAAGTCGGTGGGACATCGACTTTCATTCAAATAGATCTCAACAACTGTAAACTTCAATAGGTCAGCTCCTTCTTAAGTTTCCCTAAAAATCTAGAAATCAAATCATTAGTGCGAGCGCTTCTTCAAGGAAGCTCCTCCCAGGCGGCGGGGGAGCCAGGGGGAGCTTCCTTGAAGAAGCGTGAGCTATCCTGCCTCCATATGTAGTAGTTTCACGTAGTTTTCTTTTGCTCGTAGCGTGTTTGCTCCCTTAATTAAGCAGGCACATACTTAAGTAGGAGTGGCCTTGCAAAAATACAAAAGGCCAAGGAATTGTGTCCTCCCGGAGGTGCCATGATGCACCTTGCAGGTGCGGCCAGCTGGTCCCACTGGTCAGTCTTTCTCTTATGCCGTTGGCACCCTGTCATCCCTACATCCGTTGGCATCCGTGTACATCCAAGGGGTCTGTCTATGAATATCTCTTCGGCTTCAGTGCATTTCTCAAGGAGAAATCATAGATCCTTCTCACGGCCATGGATTTCAGAGGCTATGACATGCTTCACACTCATCCTACCGAGCACTGAAGCACTGGATCAGTGCGCGAACCAGGGGTCAAACTGTCAAACACTGTTCAATGGTGTCCAACGGACACCATTGAGAAAGTCACACAATAAGATTCTAGCGAAGGTTGCTTAACACCATTTTGGCGTTGTATCCAGAGATGTGTACATTCAAATTCTGTCTCATCCATTCAAAAGAACAATTGTAGCTCCTTCTACAATCCTCAAGAAAAGAAACTCATGGCTTGATCTCTAGAATCTAGAATGAGTGTTCATTGGGTTGGTGTGGTTTCCTCCAAAGGTGGGAATGTCAGGGCACCTCCTGTTTAGAAGTAAGATGAAGTAAGGTACCAATGGTACAAAACCTGAGACGAGCAAGACCTTTGCTCAGGCTCCCCCAACTCGACACAACGACTGCACGTCTAGTTCCAAAGCAGCACAAGGAAGTAGAGTTCAGTTCGGAACACGTTCCTGACAGCCTAGCAGACCTTGCAGAGTATAGCTGCAGGTCAAGACAGCCCTGTACAAAAAGGGTATTGTCAAAGTTTGTATCCCCAGGTGTTGATGGTCAAGCACAATGTGTAGCTTCTTCACCCAATTGAATTTGAACTCAGCTTGTACAAAGACTGCAGCCAAGGGCACCACGGCTCGTCCGTATCTGCAAATTGAACCAAAACGGCCAAGCCAGGTGCACAAGTTTGAGACATGCCGACGAATCGCAACCATCGTCGATTCGTTATGCTGACAAATGATGCGGGCAGAAGTTCTGCAGAAATGTGTGTCATACGACTTGAAAGCAATGTATTCATACACTTCCCTGACGAGTGCAATGAAGGCAAGATTTGTTTCGCTGGTCGTCGAGCGGGGTTCGCTCCAGACATCCAGGACCTTAGCAAGTTTGGCAGCGAGACTCCGACACTGCCCAGCTTTGGCCGCAAAAGCTCCTAGTAGCGTCCTTGTTCCTAGTAGCGATGCCCTTTACTCCTAGTAGCGTCCTCTACATATTAGGCATCACATGTCTTGAAAGTAAAAGCTCAAACGCCGCGATTGACAGTTATAAAGACATGCCTTCTGCCCCTAATGAGCTCTAAGGCTCACAGCATTGTCGAAGGACTTGGTGAATGAAGCTGTCACAAGTCTGGCAGAACACAAATTGTGTGAACTTGCCGGCCTCTATTGTTTAGAATCCAATTCCAATACTGGTTGCATGTTGATGGATGTTGGGCGTGTCCACTCCTCGGAAAAAGATAGGTGTTGGTCAAAACAAGTCACTCTGTGGTGAGTTCACTCATATCAAACTACTATTGAACAAAATTTGTCGAAGGATCAGCAGATCAATGTCGAACACACTTGGAACAAGCATGTTTGAACCCCCCCTTCCAGTTGGCCTATGCATCTCAAATCACCCCACGACCCGCCTGGCAAAAGACCTGCTGACAAGTTCCGCACCGAGCACCTCGAGGGGAGCAGAGTCCGGCGGCCGGCTATGTCTCCCCCCCGGCACATGATTTGTGTTATGCAGGGAACCGACTGTCTCTGCAGCTCTGCCTAGTGAATCCATGAATCGGTGGCAAGCTTTGCAGCGCGAAGCAAGGCCTTGGTGCTTCCGCCAAAACTGGCCGCTACAGCTCAGTGTGTAGAAATAAAGAAACTGATTACCTTTGACTTCAAAACGACATATCCTACTAGTCCTACTGACATCAACGAAACCAAATACGACGTCACGAGTCATATAAGAAAGGACACTGCTGCTACTATCTGAATGAATGCACACTGAATCTGCACGCTTTCTGCACCGGATGTTCAAGACAGCGCACTGAGACACTGAAAATCTTGCCAGACAGAGCGGCTCGTTCAGGAAACTGGATGCTGTAACCAAACTCTAGAGTCTCCAAAAACAGCTCACAAAGACTCTGAGCGCCAACACCCATCGCCACCGATGCAAATGGTGCTAGTGGCACCACGCTCCTGGGGTCAACTCAACAAAGCACGGGCAATCTTTTTCAATCCAAAGCTTTGCAAAGGAGCTTGCAGGCGTTTTGCTTGCTGATCCATGACATGGTTTCCAGGTGCTAGGCTACTACCTGCATGTGGTCGAAGTATGTTGAATTTGTTGATGACATGACATCGACCAAATGGTCCATGCTCCTAAATGCTCTTGCCAGGACGGAGGCTGAGACCAAGGGCAAGTCACAGATCTTGCATCGGCTGGGCCTCAAATAGATGTCTTCTACAGGAGGACTGAACAAAAAGAACTGAAGAAAAAAAACAAAAAAACATTTTGCAAAAGTGTGAGGAAGGCAAATCCTCTTTGTCAAAAACTCTCAGTGTTGAATGCCACTAGCTCTAGGGCACCAGCAAGCCGCAGCTGCGACCGTTGCACTGAGGACCTTGGAAGATGTTTGAAAAACTTCCTTTCTACAGGAGCAAGGACGCTACTAGGGGCTCCTGGCCTTACTACTAGGAACTAGAAGCTACTAGGGGCTCCTGGCCGTACTACTAGGAGCAAGGACGCTGCTAGTACTAGGGGCTCAGGCTAGGGGATGCAATTTTTGTAAGGCCTTCTGCAATTCCATGATTCCTACAGGACTTGCAGGGTCTGCGTGGCTGATAAGGGAACAACCTGCCTGAGGATGCTACAAATATATAAAGAATTCTGCACTTGACAATGGCAGCAACCTGAGCGAAGGACAAATGTCAAAACAAACAAACTGCAATGTATTTTTCAATCTCTGGTGGTAAGCCCACCGACTCCTATTTTGTCAATATGGCTAAACAAGCCGTCAGTGTGGTTGCAACATCGAGGGGTGATAACTGCCAGCTGTTGAATATGAACTTTGCCGTCTGACAAATGATTATCATCTGAGGGATGCCTTGGCATGCTGGTCAACTGCCAAACTTGCAAGTGCCCAGTGCTACCTTGATTGCTTCAATTGGCGACAAGGAACAGCCTCAACGGCCTGAATTGAAATGGCCTCTTAGCCCCGCACATGCCTCTGGCTTTCTAGCCTGCAAGGACAATGAGAGAAACATATTCTTTGTCATCTTTTTTCTCTCTCTCCCTGTCTCTACTTATTATATAGTCTTGTCTCCGTCCTTTTCCTTCCTTCCCTTTCCTTCCTTCCTTTGTTTCTTTTTTCCTTTTCTTTCCTTTCCTGCCTCTTCCTTCCTTTTCCTTTGTGTTCCTTCCTGTTCCTTCCGGTTCCTTCTTTCCTTTTCCTTTCCTTTTCTCTCCTTCCTTCTCCTTTCCCGTTTTTCTCCCTCTTTCTCCTTCCTTCTCCCTCCTTCTCATTTCTTTCTCTCGTGTTTCTTTCCATTCTTTCTTTTCCTTCTCTCTCTCTCTCTCTCTCTCTTGAAATGGTTATATGAATATATACATATGTTTTATATTATAAATATATACTAGTATATATAATGTATATACCTATATAGACTTTCGTCCTGTTTCTCCTGACTGACTGCACACGACTTCACATGACAAGTGAAATTGCAAAAAATCCACTGGACGGGTGCCCTTTAGCGAACTGTCCGCGGTTGTAGCACCTCTGCTTCCAACTGTCTTGGGAAGCCCATGCCTTGCAAATCAACATTGGTTTCCACAGCTGGTCACAAGTTCCTTTTACGCTTTAGGAGTCTTAGGGACAAGGCGGACCATTTGTGGGGCCACGTCTTTGCCATCGATCTTGGGTGCCACCAGGTGTCTCAAGAGCAGCTCCTAAACAAATTAGCCCCTCAGCGTCATCCCACGATTCTAACATCTACCATGTATGGTGTCTTGTGGTAGATTCTATGATCTGCAAATGGCAAAGGGCTTTTTGTTGAAGCAACTCTATCCTGAATCAAATACCAATCTGGAATTACTCTCTAAAAGAAAAAAAATGCTGCAAAAGTACCCAAAAAAGAAAACGAACTTCGTCCGTCCTCAAAATGAGCCTTGTTGAGCGCCACATCAAAGCGACCACCAGTCTCAACCTCTTCAGATTGCGAGTTCCAAAGCACAAAACATCAGCATGGACACTTAAGACACCAGTCTCGCAATGCTACAAGGTGTCTGGATTTCCTTGTCATCCTTCCATCCAGTTGCACATGCTTTGTTGCTCCTCGGTTCGGTGGAAGATTGAAACCTTTTCCAAGTGCAGTCAAGGCACAAGGCAGTTTTGTGTGGCTGGAAAAACAGGTTGAATAGCGGTAGCAATATTCTGCACCGTAGCTTTGTTTTTACTTGGTGCATGCGGTTTTGGCACATTGGCCAATCACTCCAACAATGCATCCCAGCTTTGACTGTGGATCTCTGCATACTGTCGATCGTGTTGCGCTTTAAGCGCACGTACGACAGCGGTGAGAGCAACAATGGCTGAAAGCACAAGCAGTGCCACCAACAAGGCTTTATGTGATGTGTATGTTTCAAGCATGATGCGACTGTCTTTCACCATAAGAACGTCATTGATCTTGACCGATGTTGGAAGGCGATGCGAAGAAAAGAAATTGTAGATCATACGATTGGCATCCACACTGCTTTTTGCACCAAGACCTGGAGATGAGGGCAGCTATGCCAAAGCGCGGCCAATGGACATCCATGAAATCCGAAATGTTCAAACAGGTCTATGCTTTCCAAATCCATGGATTGGTCATGCCGCAGGTCTTTAAAGAATAAAATAAAGGATGGAAATGCATCGTTTTGACTGAGCACTACGATAGATACACCGACACCTTATCGAGGTCAATTCTTTAGGTCAAGGACTCAAGGATGAATTCGGAAACCATGAATTTCTGAACTTCATCATATTTCAGAACCTCATTCGGCGGAAACGAAGCAAGACACCGTAATTCTTCGGAAATTGTTACCTATTTGACTCTATATTACTACTATTAGATATACAGTGCACCGATGCCTGACCTGGAACACTGGAACCTGAAAGGGCCGCATAGGAATAGCTGTTTGGGTGGACAGATTCTCCCAGGTTCGATGTCTTTTTGGCTTTCCCGAACCTCACTGCCCCACCCACCCACTCACCGTTGGTTTGGGCTTCTTAATCGCAGCTTTCTGCTTCTAGTTCGCGCCGTTGGTTTCTGAATCGGGATTTGTTGTTTGCAGTCCCTGCACATTGTTCCCTGCCTGGCAAGGGCCACATGGCTCCAGGCCATTGATGCCCTGCACCATGGAGCAGTAGAAGTTCCACAGTGGCATTTCCATTGCAGTCCGAGTAGGAGGCCACAGCATAGGATCCAGCTTCAATGAACTGGGGCGCAGCAGGCGCAGCACCGGATGCCAGGCGACATCCATTGAAACGAGCCCAGTCTTGCATGGCATCTGGCACTGAGGATTGCCAATAGCCCTCTCCATGACCATTCCAAGGGTTCACCTGGTCCAAATCTCCATGAAAAGCCAGGATCGGAATTGGCCGGATTGCTTGGTTGGGCGTGGGAAAGCGTAGCCCAGACACAGGCGCAACTGATGCAATCACCTGAGACAGTTCGGAAGCCAAACGCATGCAGAAGCGAGCACCGTTGGAGTAGCCAGTGCAATGCACTCGCCTCTTGTCGATGCAAGGGAGCTTCAAGATCTCGTGTAACGATTCTTTCACAAACTGCAAATCATGCACATCATCATCTGGCATCGCCTGGCCGTGTATGCCTACGTTGAACTGATACTGCTTTGAACCCAATGCCATGTTTGGTAGAGCCTGCAGCGCCAACAAACCAAAGTTGTTCTCTTTGGCAAAGGTGTTGAGGCCCGAGTACCGCAAAAAGTCTTGTACCTTGTTGTTGGTGCCATGTAGAACAAGCCACAGTGGGATGTTCTCCCCTCCCCTTGGTAGATACAGAAACATGCGTCGAGACTGTGTTCCAACTTGAAATTGCACCTCATTTTCAAATCCTGGACACGTCCAGTCTCCAACTCGATTCGCAGTCTCCAGTCCTTTGATTCGCAGTCTGGGCAGTCCTCTGAATCCCGAAGTCGTAAGAATTGATGTCGTAGTCACGGATGTCGCGGTGACCGTCGTCACAGTTGTGGACGTCACTGTGCTCACTGTGGTCGAAGTGATGGTCACAGAGGTGCGAGTGACTTGGGTGGTGGTTTTGGTGGGAAGTATTGGAGGCAGTGTGAGAACTTTCGGCTCAATAAATTGCTCCTGCCGAACACAGAATTCGTGATAATCCGAGCAACAACCTCCAAATTTAAGACACCAAGAAGTGCACTGGCACGAGGCACCAGGCTCAATCAGCCGGCAGCGGTCTCTACAAGAGCTCTCCCCCGCAGAATCGCTCACATGCAAAAGTGCAAGCAGCAATATGATACATCGCTGCAGCTGCATACTGCATGGATTCATCAACCCGGACTGGTACCATCCAAAGGGCAAGATCTTTTCTAGATAGTTGGAGTTTTCATGTGGGGTTCTTGTCTGTGTGTGGATTGCATGATGGATCCATACAAGAACTGTTCAGAGTTGAAGTAGACTCATATTGCGACCTGAATCCTTTTGCCCTGACTTGATGGCGAATACAAGCAACAATCATGAAACATGGAAATGTGAAATGTCAAAATGATCCATGGACCATGAATAGAAGAAGAAGCATCACAAGCTCAGGCAGTGACACAAAGATTCTTCAGGACGAAGATCTCGGGACTCAAAGAAACCACCGACACCTGTCCGAGAATTTCATGCCTGATCATACACCAACAGGTGAAGACTGAAGAGCTTTGCATAAAAAAAACAGGACTGCATCACACGCTCTACCACTCACCATGTTCTACGATATAAAACCATACAGTAAGAACCACGTGTTTTCTGTCTAAAAGTGCATCCATCTGTACAAATTGGTGAACCCAGGTGAACTCACACGCATATAGTTGACAAGACCGATGCTGCACCAAAACTCATAAAGAAAATACAACTTACAACCCAACAGCGGCTTGAACTGAGCAAAACGGTCATGGCTTTGGGGCGGCTTTTCAGAGCCAGCTTGGAGGCTAGATGTCGTAACAAATGGGACTGCCCGCAGATTTCGAACAGCAAACTGTCAGAAGCCAACAGCCCGCCCGGATGTTCTTCAATCGCAGAGTTGGCAGAAGGTCCTCGTTGCCAGTTCCGGAATCGATTTTTTGGACATAACAGCTCAAATGCGTCGATGGCATGATTGGTAAGATACTGTCAATCCCCAGTTTTCAAGCGTTGTCCGTCCTCCATGGCAAGCTCTTGCAGGTTGCAAGTAGCCACGGAGGCTAGCAGGATCTGAGGCAAAATAGGACAAAACATAGAATAAAATGTTGAGTAACAAGGAACCTTAGATTAGAGATCTTAGAGCTACTAGTCACGAACTGTCAAGGTGCCTGTGTTTCACATAATAAATACATCGGTAAGTGTTCAAATCCATCGTACTTATGCGCAAATATCGCAAATTCAAGGGTCATGATCGGACTGACTGTGACTGGACCTTCTTGGAACACCATTTCCAAAAAAAGAAACAGCCTGGTTCGTAGTATGAGAATGTCAGCATCTAACATAGCAAGAGTGTGTGTGTGTGTCCACCTCTGTAACTAAGAGTTTCTGTTTTTCTCAACTTTTAAGTCGCAGGGGGCGTGACGGTCGATTTCCTAGTCACGCCAACGAAGCTGGGGAAATCGACTGGATGGAAGTTTGGACGCAAACTTCTGTACCTGCGCGGATGAAAACTTTTGCACCCGCTGTGACTCCACTTTTCCTTTTGTTGCTTCCATGGTGGTTGTTTGCATGATATCCCCCAAAACAGGTTTCCTTAGCTTTGGTAAAGTGCTAGTGCGTTTGTTAAGCAGTTCTGTTCTTCGGA